TCTCCTTTAAGTTGCTTTGTTAAAATCATCTTTTTCTACACTGTCTGATAGTTTAATATATATAAATCATGTATCAGCCAGTTCTATCACTTAATTTAGACTGTACTGTATATTACCATATATCTACAGTATAATTCTTTTACATATCATACATATTTTTATGGCTGCACCATTTCATCAAATGCAAATATTGTAGATGTCTTGTGCATACTTTTATTCACTTTTCCCACAAATCAATCACCTGGCTGCTTGTTTGGAAATTTAATTTTTTATTTTTATTGTTTTATTTTATTGAAACTATATTATTTATAATTGTTGTGAGTAATTAATGTATTCCGTCACACTTTGCATCTAGGTAATACAATCTGAGACAATACACTTTTAATTTGAATTCAAATAATTTGTTCTCAAAAAGAATATATCTTTTCTTTTTGTAATAAGAGAACAATGTTGGAATTATGAGTAATATTTATAATTAATGTAATTCAAAATAAATTTTTCAGTATTGGATATATTAAACTACAGAAAAAAGTGATGTAATTTGTAATTTTGCATTTAGATATATTTACTCTTCCTTTACTCCTTACTTTACTTAATCTAAAATTACTATATAGTTGTCAGTATAGTAAATTATTAGCAACATAAATTATCATAAAGTCTTTAAAAAATCTCTATATGTTTGGATATTCAATAGTAGATTATATCCAATTACTTCATCTTACCTTCTCCATCTCTGACTTTAATTTGTACCTTTACCTTACACTAAAATGTAACCTTTTTGACCTTTTATCTTGTGTTTCACTTCTGTTCCACTTCCTCAGTAGATAAAAGCGAGGATGAATGGTCTCTGTGGGCATACCAAACACTGAGCATTATTTGATTCAAACTCCCCTGGGTGTTATGACTGGGAAATAATTGTACGTATTTGTATTTGTTTCTTTTTCACTGTGGTGTGCTCTGGGTAATGCTTAATACCTTCTAGAGATTATACGGTAACTCCCAAACTCCCATGATTATAATTAAGCCTGACTTGGTTATAAAATGAGCAAATAGCAATTTAGTTTTGCATCGTGTGAGGGAGCATCTCTGTGTGTTCCTCCGTGTTCCTGCGTCTCCATACATCTTCACATTTCTGAATATACTTGTGATTGTGCTTGAGAGTTTGAATATGCACATGCATTGTGTGTGTGTGACTGTGTGTCAGGGGGAAGTGCTGCAGAGGAAAGGCATATATATACATATATATATATATATATATATATATATATATATATATGTATATATATATATACAGGAATGTTTGCTTAGGCATGGAAACTGCTATCATCCTTCTGGCAAAAAAAGAAAAAAAACACAAACATTCCCCCATCCATTCTATTTCTCCTCCTTATTCTCTATCCTGCACTCACTCTGTTCAGCTTTCTCACTCTCTCTTTCTGTATCACTTACAAAGGCAGCCGTTTCCTCCAAAATGAGGCCACGTACGGAAGGTATGCAAATGAAATCATTGCTCGTGGATTAGAATGGGACACCATATACCCTAAATCATGATTGTCAATCATGGCTGGGGATTAAGGGATATGGGCTCACAGACCTAAAAAAGCAACATTTCCCCCCTCAGGCAGATCCCCATTGTGAGGAGCTCTGAGGAAGAGAGGTCTCCACAGGGGAGGAGAGCAACATTGGAGCACTAGTGCCCCCTTCTGTCTGATGTTCATCGCACCATTTCATCATCAAACACCAACCAGTCTGAACAGAAATAGAGGCTGGCACACACAAGCCTATTCATTTACATTCACTTTAGCCGCAGGCAAAAAGCTTGATTAGACAAATGAACATGCTTTGGTGATGCAGTGTTTCATCTTCAGTGGAGGAGAGAGAGACCTCATTTGTTTCTCTGGCGTGTGTGCAGGCTTGGTTCAACATCAGTGGGTTAGGAGGGCCATAGGCCTTACAAACGTAAAACAGATGTTTGTTTGCCCTGTGAGTGAATGTGTTTAGCACTAGAGACCCTTAACCATCAGAATCAATTATATTTTAACATGTGCTGTATACAATATGCATTTTTATGTGTACATCTGCCAATTTGACAGCCAGTGGTGTATGTTGAATAATTTTAAGCCTATATGCATGTATATAATAATAATAATAATAATAATAATAATAATAATAATAATAATAAAATGCATTTTTGCCCTTTTAATTATACTGAATTCTACAAATGCTACTACAAATACTTCAAAAACTACTATTAATAAAGATGGTCATACATATTAATAATAATAACAAATAGTACACAGGAATAATTATAATTACAGCTGAATAAATATGCTTAATTTGAAGTAAATCAGGTCTTCTACTTCATATTTCGGAAGCGGAGCGGCTCCTCACACAGAGACATGTTTAGTGGATTGTGTGTGCAGACCCTGGAGCCCTCAGCTAGAGTGCCAGTCTGTTCCTGTGGAGCAGTCAACCAGACAAACCCAGCCAAGAGAGAGCAAGGCACAGGCACCGGGCCAGGAAATAGCACTGGAAAACACTCCATTCTGGCAGAGAATTAATAGTGTTCTTATAGGAGAAAAAGCATGGGGGAGGGTGGGGGGAGGACAAGCACTAGTTTAGCATCATCAAAAAGTACGGTTCTGTACGACTGCAGGAATCAGAGGAGAGTTTCATTAGGCCCATCATACTAGACCTTGATAATGAGAAAAGTGAGCAAAGGAGGAGAGTTGGCACCATTCACATCCTGCACAGTGCAGCTCCCGGCTGCCCAAGACTGAAGGTGGTGCGGCACCTGTGCCGTTTTGGCCCCAGCATCGTATGGGCACGAGGTCAAGGCCAGGGCAACATCTGCATCACATCAGAGGGCCTGGCTGTGTGCCCACATCATGAAAGGCTCTGACAGAGAAATCCTAAAGAATAGATTTTAAAAAGTACCACAAAGTGCTTGCTGGGGATACCCAGTTTATACACCATTCTCACATTCTACAGTTCTACAATTCTACAGTTATTTTCATGATTAATACTCTGACCTTTCTTGTAGTTAAACTGGATACTCAGCAAATATTTGACACAGATCACATCTGTTGCATGATCTATAAATGCAGAACGTTGTTATGTTTGACATTTACCTGCATGTGAAACCTACACGAGTTCTGTATGAGGCAACACGCTCTCCAGTGTATCTAGTCACAATTACCTAATTTACCTAATGACTAATTTTAACAGGGGGATCCTTAATACCGTCCCTGTCTGTCTGCTACAGCTAGACCACCTGAGTCATCTTTCCGATGGCAGTAAAATAAACCACCGAAATTGATACGAGCCGCCAGCACACTAAAGAGCAAATCATTATGCATCATTAGGTGAAGATTTAGTTTAAACGTGTTTAGCAGGAATTAAGCAAAGCTGTTGTTGACATGGATTGACTGCTGTAATGCTTTATTGTCAGTGCTCCAGGAGGCAGAGGGAGGGCCGGCCTAGTTGGGGTAGCAGCAATGCGCCGAAAGCAAGGATTTATGGGATGTTGGAGGACTAGCCGGGTGTGCAGAAACAGTGGAAAAAAACGGATAGTATGGTCGATGATTTGGCAGAAGAGACAAATGGAGGGAGATGCATGAAAAGAGGGGGAATGAGGAAGTGAGGGTATCTGTGGTCAGTGGAAAAGAGGATTCAGTTGCAGTTTGAATCTTAACTTGAACATGGATGTGTGTTTGTACAGACCCAGGATGCCCGAATGTGCACATGAGAATGTCCCTTTAACCGAAAGATCAAATGATTTGCATGCGACCTCATTATAGCATAAAAATTGTGTTTAAAACGTATCGTATGTTTAAATCTTAACTTCCAGAAATCACCTGTTTCATAAATAAAAAAATATAGCAGTACTTTCCTATTTAAGGGTTTAAAAAGGTTCTGCACAGAGCAAAGAGCATCACATTGAAGATTAATACTCTACTTAGGGAAATATTGTACGGAGTACCAATTCAGGGCAAATCATCACTGTGATATTAGAAAGGTTTCCAAGTAACTTAATGACTGAAGGAAATATACTGAAGGTGCTTATGGAGTGTTGTGGGCTTCATGGAAAGATATGGATAAGTAAAACTCCTGCAGCAGGAAATAAAGAATCAAAGGTGGAGCATGAACAACTTGTCTGTGATCAGTTCAACCGCAGATATGTTTCCCTGGCCTGACCGCCCCTGTGTTTGTATGTGTTGCCATCTTCACGTGTCTGAATGTGTAAGCAAGAGCTGCTCAAACCGACGAGTAAGAGAGGACAGTCTTATCCAGCTCTCCAGTGTTGACAGTATTACTAATCCCCTCCACCTGCTCAAACAGCCACCCCAAAAAACACACCCCTCCCCCTCTTCCATGTGCCTGCGCTGGTAGTCCCTGGGGCCAGGCTGCGCCTCTGCCTTCGTCTCCACACCAGTTATCGTCCCTAGCCCGGCTCCGCTACCCCAACCCCTTCCCGCGCCGCACACATTAATCGCTGCAAAAACAAATAGTTTTCGCATGTTTGGAAAAGACCCACTGTTTGCATCAGGGCCTAACAAAATAATTTTTACAAGCTATCCAGTTGTGATTAGGGCTGAGAGAATTGAATTTATGTGGCATTGATAATATTAATATTAGCCTAATTAATTATGTTGTTTGAACTTGCACAGCACTGTGTGTACCTTCTACACAACACTAACCAGCCGGAGCTGGAACCGAGCTCTCAGGCGTCTCTATCTCCCCGGCTCTCCCCCAGTCCATGACTACTGCACACAATTCATCAACTCGTAGATATCTAATCCCCTCTGGCTCTGCTCACTTCCTGAAGTCTAAGAAAGAACTTTACTCTGGTGGCAAGAATTCCCATGAATACTTGATGACTTCTATAGAAAGGAAGACTGTTTCATCTCACTTTGAAAGTGACATTCGCGGAGAGAACTTGCCTAACTTTGTATTCATAGCTCCTCATTTATGAAGGATATTCAGAAGAAGGATAGAAATAAAATGCAACATCTTTTTAATGAGTCACTAATAAAGGTAAACAGCAGTACAGTGGGAGCAGCTCTGCGTAGGAGACGGTTTCAGGCATCAGGGAAATTATCTGCCTTCTTTTGTTTTTAGTGCAGAAAACGGTGACTGAGAACCTCACATAAGCCCTGTGTGAAGAAGTCCCCTTTAGTTTGTTTCCTTAATCAGTGGAGGTCAACAATTCAATGTCTCCTGACCCAGAAACACTGCATATCCAGCCAATAATGTCTTCGGACTGTGTGCACTGCTGGATAAGCAAGTGTTGATCTGTGCAATTACAGTGACACATACTCAATGACCCATCACACCAGTCATCTGTGCACAAGGGACCACCCAAACCTCCAGAGAGGTTCTCAGACCTGTTTATAGTTCAGATCACACTTCTCTACAAAGGCCTCTCGACCTCTACTTTGTGATCGGAGGGTAAAGGTTAGAGAGGTGGTCATGTGTCTCTCTTTGCCAGACAGAGCTCTATCTCATGCTTGGTTGGGGCTGCCTCTGACGGCTCCCCTACAGTTCATTACAAAGGGTAGCTGTTCCAAACACACAGTGCTACTGCAGGCCTGATGTCTGACTTTACAGCGTGATTGTAGACGTCTCCCTTTATAGCAGCTCTGGGTCTATTCCCATGCACAAGTGCAGCCGCAGGACTTATATATTTGGCACAATCAAAAAAAAGTTTCTTATTCACATAAGCACAGAAATCCATGTTGTCCATTTACTTATATCAGACATTTTAGTGACGTGGTTTGGAGGTGGATTAGTATTTAAAAACAAATGAAATCATAAGTCAATAGACATTTAAATTTCTTTAGCTCAGAGAAATAAACAATGAAAAAAAAATAAAATAAAGGTAAAATGCACGTTTCCCACATTCAGGGAGCAGTGGCACAAAGCAATCCCAGTAAAGTCTGTACACTGGGGCCAGGCCGAAGCACTCTCTGAAGCAGGGATGGATATCTCCAAGGTGCATCATCTCATCAACGCATGGGTTACTGGACAGTGGGCGTCGAGGTGTTGAATCAGTCATTAACTAAAGTGTCGGCCCAGTCTGGCTGAACGGTAGTCCACTCTGAGCTGGACGAAGGCGTGCAGGAGGTTTCGCTCCAGATTGGTGAGCTGCTCGCCTGAGCAGACCTGCTTTAGGTTGTCAGGGGCAACGACCAGGAGGTTACAGAGGGCGTGGAGTGTGTCGAAGAGCTGCAGAACCAGAGGGACCTGGAGGGACAGACAGACATGCAAGCTATTATACCTTGTAAACTACAGCACATACACAAAGTTAGTCCTTGGATAACTGGACACACAGGGCTGTTAGGACAAATGCTTCAAAAGATAAATCACAGATTTTATTGTATTGTGACTTACAGTAGGTCATATCTAATACATCTCTTTAGCCATAGTGCTTGAAAAACACTCGATCTCCTCCTCCTGTCCTGTATTTACTTGTTTGCAGTGCTGATATGATTGGTCAAAAGTCAATCAACAGAGAAATTTAGCTTATCAACCATTTTATCAAATAAAAATGTCATATAAAGGGTTCCAAAGTCTCCTACGTGACAATTTGCAGCTTTTCTGTGTAATATAACAGCGGTAGGTCACAAAATACGCAACACCTTAAGACATTTTATAGACTAAGCACTAAAATAGATTTGATCAATTAATCCATGATGAAAATAGTCCTTACTTGCAGCCCCTTTTGTTTGTACTGGATGCATAATATTACCAAAGGATTACACTATTAACCTGAACTGACATAACCAGTTTATGTAATAAACACAGGTAGAGTCTTTGTTGGAAGAGCCATGTTTTGCCCTGTGACCAGAGTATCCTGGACCTATGCCCCCCTACTCACCCTGAAGTCCTTGGCGCACCGTCGGTATTCAGCCACGTCGCAGATGGCCAGCATGCCTCCCATTGAGCTATAGCTGTACTGCTGTAGGTGCTCATGGATGAGCCGATGGAAACGAACGCCCAACTCCGTCAGCACTGTGTCCACATTTTTCCCATCCATGGACTTCCGCACGTGCTCCACCTGCCGACTGACGTAGGCACATACTTTGGAGCAGGCCTGCCGGGCGGGGAGACGCAAGGGGGAACATGAAAAAAATTTAAAGGTCGGGAGAAAGATTGATTTTTTTTGTTTTGTTTTGCGTGTGAGCTGAGGGCCTTTTTCCTCTTTCTTACTGTGGTGTACTGGATCATGACGTTGTTCTCGTCCTCAGGCCTGAAATCAGTCTTCTTCTGCTCGGTTGCTAAGATGTGCTTCATTTGCCCCACCATGCAGTTTATTGTTCTGTGTGTAGCATTAAACACATTGAAAAGACCATTCATTTATGGGGTTTTGTCTGCACATATGAAACACATTGAATGTAAGAGCAGGTAGTGGCCACTTATAAACACACTGACCTGTCGATTCCTGTGTCCAGTTTCACTTCCATCTGTTCAATCACCTCTTTCTTCTTGTGCAGACACTCGGCCAACTTTGGAGATGAGCTGGAGACGTAGATTGTAAAAAGGCTAAATCAGAGGTCTCCCTTTTTTTTAAAAAAAAAGTTATGTGCTAATGAGAGGCAGCAGCAATATAACAACCAAATATGGTGTATATATATATATATATATTATTTTAACCCAGAACTGACCTTATTAGAGGCATGAGCTGGTCATTAAACTGCTTGTCAAACAAGTGGAAGATAGAGTTTGCCTGTTGAACTACATCCAGGAAGTACAGGTTGGCATTCTTGGCATCTGATGAGGGAATTGCTGTAGATCGAAGAGAGAGAGTAAGTCTAGACAATTAACCAAAAAAGGATAAATCAATATTATTCAGGGCAGAAAACCACTGTTGCCTGCTATATGGGTCTGTGGGTTCAAACCACAAAAATACAACAGCAATGTCGACCGTCAATAGGAGAAAGTAATCAAATTATGGAGACATCAGTGCATTTCTTTGGGAGATGAATACACGTTTAGTTCCACTGTAGCTGCCTGAAAATGATAAGCTACCTCCTGCATTCAGCCACATACAGAATGCAAAGAAAAGCCACAGAGGCACAGCCTGCTTTGCATCAAGGTAACTTGGAGATTCTCTTTTTTTGTTAACTTACATAAAATGTGATGGTTATATCACCGAATGGTATCTATACCAAGAAACGTCATCTGGTCTCTGACAAAGTAAAAGGCTATGAACTGTAGTGGGTGCATGTAACTTCATCTACATTGTTGTAATTACGAAGTATCTATGGTTGAATGTTGTGCTTCAGGTGTCAGGTGGTGATGTCACATGTTTCAAATCACATGATGCATCTTCACGTTCATGTTTTAAGACCAAATAAGTCACACAGGCTGACGAGGCTTTGGCATTTGAAAGGATCCTCTACATCAATTAAAAGAAAACATTTTGCTGTATATATTTACCCCTGACCTAGTACATTAATTCCCAGTTGTCCATCATGTGTTTATGTAAAATATGATAACTTGCAGTGGTCTCAATAAACTTACATAGAGAGGATTCCTGTTATCTACCAATTTGTCAGCTGTTTGATTGAAAATGTTTCCTTTACGAGTTGACAAGTAACACCTTAATGTACTGTTAGTTTTAGTCTCTATGACGCTGGACTGTCTCATCTAAGAAAGAGGCCTTTGGATCGGACACACCCTTGTGGCCTGCATCCCTCATAGAGTCCAGTCACTGATTTGGGACACAGCTACAGTGCGGCACCAGTTTTTACGCAGTGTGACTGAGTGTGGATTTAACTCCTTAACAGTGGGTCAAATCAACACACAGAAAGTAAACTGAATTGCATCTACCTGAGAGGCCAATCTCTAGGGCGTAGTCGATGTGTTCCACACAGAGATGTTCAACCAGCAGCAAGAAGATGGAGAACGCGTTCTTGGGCAGGTCCGAAGGATCTGAAAGCTGTGTCACCCCAAACAGAACGAAAGGAAATACATTTAACAATTTTAGTCCAGCAGGATTTCCTCTTTATATCGGCTTTTCTAAAAACAGGCTGGAAATTATTTTTAGTGGCCTCACCCTGTGGCATCTCTCAAAGGCATGACGGGTCTCCTGCAGCAAGTTCACCACTAGCTCTGGGGACAGAAAGGTCTCCCCATGGGTGTCAATGATGGGGCCAAGGGAGAGGTTGGTGCGCTGTCTGATCCGCTCCTTCAGTTCTTGGATACTGTAGAAAGACAGAGATTTTGATTATTTTGTTATATCGTGTCCTTTTGTAAAATACATTCTAATCCTAACCCTTAAAAGTAAAGCAATAACTTAAAAATAAAAAGTAAGATGCTGCCAAATCTGACCTGCCAGTGCCAACTGGGCGTTTCTGGTGATTCTTGGAGTCATAGTAGCGCTGCAGAATCATGGCACCTCGAGTACGAATATATTCCCTCTCCATGTCAATGTAGCTTTCCAGGTATGAGGAGAAGATGCTCTTTATCAGCTTGGACAGGAACGTGTGCTTGTCTGAGCCCAGGTTGAACTCTGTCAGCTTGGTGGCCAATGCTGTGGTCCTGGAAAACATTTTTTTTTTTTTAAAGTGCGTAAATATGTAAGCCCTTAAACACTTACTGTGTAGACAGGAAGTGACTTAAAAAAATGTGAACAAGTGAAATACCTGGTGTAAAGGTCATAGAGGTTCTTGAGGTACTGTTCTACATCAGAGTGTCGAGTCTCGTCAAGTTTTTCCTTAACGTGGGCCTGCAGACGCAAAGGTATCACATATAACCTGACAAATAAGACATGTCAAAATGAAACGAAACAAATTAAGTAGAGATAATAGAAATACCTGTAATTTGTTTTCAAAGATGTTCTGGATGAGTTTGGCCATAACAGTCTCTGGGCTGCTGAAGACCTCCCCCACCTGCTTGTTGACCCTCTGGCAGAGGACGGCAGTGTCCTCAAACACATCATTTCTCAGGTAGGCCCCCTAGGGAGATAAATAAAGAGTTAACACGAAGTCTTTGGATATTACTGTCAACAAAAAAGTGGAATAGTATGTCTAAGAGGAACACCCACTTCCTGACACTGCTTGATGTAGACGTCCACACAGTGTGCATAGCCCTTGAACAAAATAAGAAAGAAACAGGAGTTACTTTTCTGCAAAATTACATCACTGACGTGCAGATTCAAGCAATATTTGAAAACATGCATATTAGAACAGCATACAATGTATCAAGCAAGAGTAATGATAAGATTAAATGTGGCCTGGAAATCAAATGTACACAAATAAGATTTTATTTCACCTTGAAATGTAATAGAACCGCTGCCACCTCCCGCATACGTCCAATCTCACCCCTGCGCTGGGCAGCAGTGAACTCCTGGATTAACTGCCGCTCCAGGTCATGGTACTTACCTGGGTAAGAACGCAAACAAACAAAGACACATAAAATAATGCTATCATTTGAAGCTAACTTCTGATGTATTTGGAATGGGGACTGTTAAGCAGAGACAGTATAGTAGATGATGAGTTTTTCGCAAACTTACTTGCAATTTTTGCCTTGACATCTGCAAATCTGTCAGAGGAAAAGATAATTAATCTTCAAGGAGACCATTACAAATTATATCCCACTATATATATTAAAAAAAGTAAATGTGTGTTTAACTTCTAGAAACATATTTTGATACTGAAATAAAATGCTTTAATACTTCATGCGTTGGGCTTACACTGTGAGGAAAAGTCTACATCACTAATGCTCCCCCTTCCCCTTGTTTGACAATGCTCTTGTCTAAAGCTGCCTCCAGGATGCCTGACTCACCTGTCGAATGGCAGCTCCTGGGCAATGAGATGCAGCTTCTGAATTATATCAGCAGCCTCCTTAATCTGAAGGAAAGAGAGAGAGAGAGAAAGAGTAAGTGTGTGTGTGTGTGAGAGACAGAGGCAGGTGAGGCAAAAAAAGAGAGAGAGCATGACAGGACCATGAGAGGTGGACATCCAGACAGAGAGCTGGCGGGCCGCCGGCAGTGTCTCCACTTGGGGGATCATCATTTTAGAGCAGCCCTCCTCCACCTCCCCATGTTGAACAAGGAGCTGATAACAGACAGGCTGCGCTCACCTGGGCATCGGCAGCAGCAACAGCAGCAGTCCTGACTTAGCAGCACATCCAACTCTTTATTGGCATGCCTTTTCTGAATGGGCTGTAATCCCACAGGAGTCTAAATCGCCTTCAATAATCTGTCCGGCCAGGGATATCTGTCTAAAAAAAGGGGGCCCTGTCGAGTACCCCCCTCCCCCCGCCCCCCTGACATACACACTGGCTAAAAAAGCCCCAGACCTACGAAAGGCCCGCCGTCCGCAACTCCTCTGTTCCTGCAGATGCCTGCCTCAGCTAACATCATTACTCTGCTCCCGTGAGGAGGATCCAGCCTTTCTGCTCGGCGAAGGTTTTCTAAGTATCTGTCCCCCAGCTAAGATTAGCTAAATCCCATGTAAGTAATGTAGCCGTCTCCCTGCAGTCAGGGTTTAGCAGCACTTGTCTCCACGCTGGCGGCCCAGCCCTCCCTTTCAGAAGGATTAGCAAAGCCATCCCCCATCAGCTATTCACTTGCAGCTTTCCTCTTTCCCCTTCGTCTGGAGGTATGCTCAGGAATAGGAATCTGGCCAGATATTTCTGCATGCCTCTCCGGAAAAATAGCTCCATCTCCAGTTCTCGTCTCTGGGATTGACCCCCAAACTCACTGCTCCGCATCCACTAACGATGTTGCTACTAACAGGAATTAATCTAAAGCATCCCAATCTCTCTACTGTCACTTACAAAACTGCAAAATCAAACTTTCAGGGGTCACTCATCTAACGTCAACATGGCGTCTGTGTAGGCAGGAACTTAGTAAAAGTGTGTATCTCATCTCATCCACCGCGTGGATAGCACGCATGTTATCACCGCCCTTACATGTACCATAATGCCACAAGCTCTTTGCTGCTGTAATGTGACACAAAGCTGAGGACCAACCAAATACTTGTTCCCAGACAACCTTCTGCAAATGCAATTAGGGTTGACATGAGCATGTTGACATCCATGCTAGTCAATCAGCCAGCTATTGTCAGAGAGGAAATGACAGTTCATTAATCCAAATTAGACGAGGGATCCGACTAAAGGGATAAACTTGACAAATTAATATGGACGGTTTACCTTATAAGCCTGTTCATTCTCACCTCCAGCAGTATCACAGCAGGGGTTCTCGTCAGTGGTCACACACACACACATACCTCCACTGAAGTGAATGGGAGGAACACATGCAGCATACTCACCTTCTCTGGGTTGTTGAAGACATCACTGCGTAGGTCTCCATCCAAGAACTCATTGAAGTAAGTCATTAGACGCTGAGCTTCCACGGCCCTCTGCCGAGGCGTGTTCACCCCCTCCAGTTGGTCGCCAAGGTGACAAACCTTGGTTGCCACATAGCTGATGTGCTCATCGAGCTCCTGGAAATGCTGAAAGGCCACCTGAATTGACAAAAACAGAGGGGAATTGAAAGATTCTGTAATGTGAAAAAATTAATGCTCAAAGACATTCAGATGGGTGTCATTCTTTACTTGGCCATACAACAGACCTGGTTGCTTCTCTGCAAGTCTTGTACTTTGTGGGCAAATTCCTTGGCCTCACGATGACACTGATGCTCAAGCTTCTCCACCCGCCGCTGGATCTTCTCATCCAATTGCTTCAGCTCTTCTATGTGGTTCTCAAATTCTTCCAACAGCCTATCACAGAGGAAAGAGAGAATGTAGATCCAGAACTCACAGTGGTTTAATCAGCATACAGTAGATCCTCAACTAACAACAGGTAAAACACACACTAAAAAGCACTTTAACTCTGGAGGAGTAATTGTGGACCACAAGGTTAAATCTGTCCCACTGACCTCACAGTTATAGTTATAGTTAGTTACAGAATAGTGCCAGATGCTTAATTCCTGGGTCCCCAGACTTAAGGAGCTCTGAAAACTAGCAACTTCGTCAGCTGCATTTTAAGTGCCATCAGGACTGTAGAGCAAATGTTCTAAGTCAGCACCACATTTCACAGAGTAGGAAACATCCCAAAATGATGAGTGTATAATCTCTTGACTAATTCCCTCAGCACTGGCTACAGCTTAAAGACATCTCCCATCCCTTCCCAATAGACACTCATTCCCTGGCTGGTGACTCACAGTATGGTGGCCTCCACAGATATGTTGTCTCTGACTCCTCGCTAAGAGCTTCCAAGGAGGTGGTGGCAACAGTTTTGTGGAGGAAGTAGATAAGGCAGGATGGATCCACAGTACAGTTAAACTGTTATGGCATTTTTGCTTACGAGAAAGAACTTGGTCCCCGAGTGTAAACATAACAACAAGCAGTGAAAATGCCATGGACAAAAATCTTAAGTATAGATGTGTCCCGTTTTTCTCTGAACCAACCATCAAAAAAGCACTACATTAGCATAGAAGACACCAAGATGAGGTTTAGTAAGTGCAGGAGGACTAACTCTGTTTCACTCTGAGTACTTAAAGTTGATACTGACAGCTGTAAATAAAGAAATCCTAATTTATATTAAAATACTTTCAACTTAAAAACACATCTAATTATATTCAAGTATTACTTTTGGAAATCTGAAACCAACAGTTTGCTCTTAACCCCTTAGAAATGAGAACAAGCATAATATAATGTGAATGGAGATTAAAACAGAGAAAATAGAGGTATTGTCTGGTGTATTGCCAGACAGATTATTTAAGACTTGACCTGACAGAGGAAAAATATCTTAAAGTGAAAATATGAAAGGATGAGGCATAAATTACATCACAGAATTGGCCAGGAGGACAGTATTAAGTCATACCAAGAGAGTGCATCTATGATCATATAGAGATGATCAGCTGTGGTACATGTCAGCAGAGTGGAGTTTCTTTATTTCTGAAGCTGTATTATTTGTAATAGTGGAAACATACTCCCAATAGGGCTACACTGGTGCGTTGTTTTTAAATGAATGAGACAGCAACTAGATATATTTAGGAACCCGGTGACACATTGGCAACGATATTGTCCCCAAAATCAAAGTTAAAACCTGGAGTGTGATATTCTACTGAGTTACTGCCTCATGTTCAGAAAGGAAAGAAGATGTGTACAGTAAATGTGAAATGACAAGAGCCTACTGCACCGTTTGGGGTCAAATGCCTCAGCTCCTCCTTTGGAGCCTCCTCCGGGTGTCCTCCATGCCAACCTTTCAATGTACTCATCTGCATCAAAGGGCTCCTGAAGGGGAGGTGAAATCGTGAGTGTACTGATGATTAACTCACAAAAACACCAGCTACAAACGCAACAAGAGCAGACTTACGCATAACGTTACGTTTTACGGCACACTAAAGTCAATGCCATGTCCGTTTCCCCGAATAACACAGCTAAAATGTATTTTTACACCTTTTATGTCTAGCTTACAAACAAACAAACATCTTATCAGCTGTGTGAATCATTACTTGTTCTCTAGTATTACACGCTCAGGGTGAATGAGGACATTACCGTTAATGGTAGTTAGCTCCCTAGCTAGCCTGACAGCTAACACAGCTCTTCGCTGCAGAAGTCATTTTACCTCGAACAGCTGAGCAGTTGTCGCCATGTTCAACAATCAGCTGGCGGCGGAGTGAAACGCACTTTAGAGGAAGGGGTTCAGACTCGGTAATACCGCCGACTTCCACATGGATTTCGTGCAGTTTTGCCCTTTGTTGACAGCTAGCTGGTTAGCAATCCAGCTTCCTGTATGGGTGGAGAAGGGTGGGGACAGCTGCTCGCAAGTGCGCAAGCGCATGTGTCGGCTGATTGGTGGTTGTTGTCACATGAAACAACAGCAGGAAGTGAGTCGCTGCGGTGGTCAAATACATACAGCGAGGAACATTTGAGTTCAACAACTGCACGATATAATGCAAACATCTACATTGAAGTCAGAGAATTGTCTGTAAATTGAGGGTTTCAGTGCAGCCAGGCAAATGAGTGTGCGTGCTTTGTGGATTATTTCTCACGAGAAGGGAGAACATGTGTCAACTTTTTCAAGGTATGTGTCTGAGTTGTGATTTCTCTTATATTCCACTTCCTGTTTACAATATTGTAATATTGTAAATTCTCTGCTGTCACACTGCATGCAGCCTACAGTGTTTTGTAATGTCTTGTGTCTTACCCACACAGGAGGTATGCTACTGTGGAGCACCGTGCAAGGAGCCTGGCAGGTTCCTCTTATGTAGCAGTCCCAGAAGACAACACTGTGCTGCAGCTACTGCTCACAGAGCTGGGACTTTCAGACTCAGATAAGTCTTATGTAGCTCTCAGAGATGACTGCCTTCATCGTCAGCGATCACCAGCCCTGGAGCTGCGTGTGGACAGTCATGGAAAGGGAACACTTTGGCCAGTGTTGGCCATCTCGCAAGGGCCTCTTATCCTGGCTTGCCTGCCTTTAGTGGATGCCCCAGCTGAACCTCGGCCACCCCTTGCCAGCCTGCTTTCTGTCTCCCAAGGCCTCACACTCCTGGCAGGTCTGCAGACTTTTCTCATCGGTGCTGGGAGTAAGCCTGATAGCGAAGGGCTGGCCTCTCGCATGGCGATGCTGCCCTCTGTACTCTTGCAGGTTTGTCCACTTGGCACGCCCCTGGATGTGCCACTTCTGGGGACACCTGCTACACCCACTGTGCCCAATCCGGCTGGCAACCAGAAGCAGCCAGCCTGGAAGATGGGTCTCCACCGCGGTCGAGCTGTTGTGAACGTAGCGCTGACAGAAACAGTACGCTCCATGCAGTATGGTAACCAGAGCAGACAGGATCTGTGGGATGTTTTTGGCACTGTGACATGCAAAGTAAGTGCACGGTGTAAAGGAAAGCAAGTGAATTTCTAACTTGTTTTTGCCTGTTTATGTTATTTTCCTTCATTCTATTTATTTCCTTCTGTCATTAGTGTGAAGTGGAAGGGGTGCTCCCAAATGTGACGGTGACCCTCACACTGCCACCAAATGGTTCTCCACTACAGGACATCCTGGTCCATCCTTGTGTCACCTCACTGGATTCTAGTATCCTGACTGCCAGTAGTGTGGATAGCTGGGATGGCTCCGCTTTCTCTGGGCCATATAAGTTCCCCTTCTCTCCTCCTCTGGAACTTTTCAGACTATGCAGCTATACATCTCAGGTATAAAACATATATACATACTAACATACTCCTCACACTTTATGTTGTTATTTGTCTCAAGTGATACCTATAATTCTTCATTAGGTCCCTGTTCCCCCTATCCTTGGTTCATATCAACTGAAGGAGCATGAGAACCAGCTGTGTGTGTCAGTAACCCTCAAACTTCACGAAAGTGTGAAGAACAGCTTTGAGTACTGTGAAGCACATTTTCCTTTCTTCAACAGGTAAGCAACACAAGAGGAAGTAATCTTTTAGATCTGAGTACCCGCCTACATTTTTTTCCTGTAGAGGAAAGAGGTTTAATGTCTCACAGTTCATGCCATCTTTGAGGGTAAAATGTCATCCAGAAAATTTCCTTATGACAAACTAAATACATGAAGTCACTTAAGATGCCATTCTGTTTTAGAGCCTTAAAAAAGGAATTTATATATATATAGAAATTGGATAATCAACAAATCAGATTTTCAAGTAGGTTAAAATAATCTTACTACTGAAGCACACATTTCCTAGCTATGCTGGCAAACTGATGAAATGAATTCCAGCTGGCAATCAAATAAAAGCATCAGTGACTTTTTTTTTTTTAAACTGTTGAAATTGTAAATGCTAATAGTTTAAACACCAGTTATTATACACTATTTTACACTAGTGATGTATTATTAATTCTGTCTATTGCTGAAAATACTTCTATTCCATAATTTATAACAATTTTATCGTCTCTCAAACTGGCCTTTGTTATGTGGAACAGAACCTTACTGTATCTTATTTAAACTGCACAATGTTCTTTGCACAACACCTGCACTAATCTCATCACATTGCACATTAGCTGAATAATTTAGTACTCCAACAGCCAAGTAAACCTAGTAACCTAATCCACATCTCAACTCATGTGAAACCATGGGATAAAATATTCCTGTCAGTATAGCCCAGAGATATTGTAAACATCTATTTTATTAGTAGACCATTCTGCTATCCAGTTCTTACAGTACATTGACCCTGTGAGTTTTCTCATAGAGCGGAGAGAATAGGTCATTTTAAAAAAGGATTCAGTCTGGATAAACAGCTTTGCTTTGTCATATCTGTTTTCATTAGTTGCCTGTGTGTTGATATCTCTCTTTAAAGTCAGTATGTTTGCACTAACACGTGCACGGGCTCTGCATCTTGTGCAGGGATCAGATGGGAGTTGTGGATGTGAAGGTGAGCTCTGGACAACTGGATGTCTCAAAGGAGAAGAACCTGCTGGTCTGGGGCCTGGGTAAGCGCTGTGCTCCTGAGCATCAATGTCAAATCACTTCTACTGCAGCTGTGTATTTAAAAAAGAAACTAATGCGAAGTTTTCCCCTCGCTGATAATTAGGACAAAAGTTCCCTAAATCTCGCGAGGTCACAATGGAAGGCAAGATCAGCTTTTCTGGACCGACACCAGGACCCACAGACCCCCTCTGCACAGAACTTACAGCCTATATCAAAGTAAGTTTATATGTGTGTGATGATAATCAGAAGCCTGTTACAGTCAAAGTGTTGTTCATTTACAGCTACTGCATGTTGCAGCATTTTTTCAACAAATCATTTCTAATAGTATAAGGATGTATTGATATATAATCACTAGGTTGTAAAGTAATGAACTCTTCTATTGTTATCTTCACAGTTGTATTTCAAAGTGCCTGACATGACGCTGTCTGGGTGCTGTGTGGACCCGCATTCAGTGCAGGTTTATTCCTCTGCCAAACCGCGAATTGTAACATGTAAGCTTACAATAGTTTGTGTATCAAAACTTTTGCTGCCTAGGGCTACACATTTTCTGAAACTAAAAAAATGGTCTGTCTTATTTTCAGCCCGAGAACTTCTATCCAAAGAGTACTTCATATGGAATTCAACAGGAACTGCTCCGGTTTCCTCTGGGCAGATGATGCTGTAGCATGGTTACATTGAGAGCTGCTCGGTGGAAAGGAGCACAGTTCATATATAATGTGAACATAATAGGACTGAAGACCCTGTTAGAAGCATATACAGTGATCAGGACTGGCTGATGATAGAAAATGAGCTGACAAATGATAGAAAATGTAAAAAGACATTTTGCTTTCACTCACAGTTCACAATGTGCAAACTCTGACTGGCAGAAGTATTGATTTTGTTGATGGATAGATACTTAAAACAAAGGACCCGCCCCTGTAGTCCAGCTTCTTTTATATTCCAACCTTCAACCCTCCCTCAGAATTATCCCATTGCAGACACAAGGGCCACCCCTTGCTCTGACAGTCCCACTTCAGTGACTCTCCATCAGCCGGATAATTAGCAGCTGGGTCCTTGTCATCAGCTGTTGGGGCCTGGAGGAGAGGGGCGGCCGGGCAGTGAAAGGCCAGGCTCCTCGGGCCAGTGTCTTGGCTACAAAAGGCTCCTCTTTTAGAGCTGGCAGGAGTCCTTGCCCCCTCCACCTATCACTCCCCCACCCCTTTTGACTCCATCCCCGCCCTGTCAACTACTGGCTAGTTCAAACACACAACCTCTCCAACCAGTCTGACCCTGTGGCCCTCTGAGACTTTAAAGCACCCTGTCCCATTCAGTAAGCAGGACCTGCCTAGTTGGAGACAAAGTCATGGATGGAAATGGTAGGGCTGCGTAGGTGATTTAACTCAATTAATGTAGTTCTTTAAGTATGATGATTTAAATTTTTATTGTTCTAACACACGTGTCAAGGTACACCCACTTTTACAATCAGTACTTAATTATAAAGAAATTATTTAAAAAGGGGCATTTAGTTCCAGACATTTTTCACTGTTTACTATTAACCTGAACTACGGTGAGTTTCTGAACTGTTACATTTCTACCATGAAAGCTCCACCTCAGTGTGTTAAGCTGAAAAAATAACTAGCCGATGAAGGGTTAAATCAGAGGAGATTGTGCTCCATATATCCGCAGCAGCCAGACTCCTCTGAGTGCCCTCATTGTCTGCTGTTGGCCTCTTGTGCCCCTTGCTGGTCCAAATGCTGCATTCTCACGTGGATTTCCACTCAGAAGGCTGACCATGACCAATCCTCTGTCAATTGGAACCAATTGCTCACACGGCATCCTTCACCTTCTTTTTATGTAGCAGTGCGGAGTGGCAGACACCGAGACCTCTCGGCTCTCCCCTTCCATGATGATTTGGCTTTAAGGCCCAGTGTGTGTGGCTAGCGAACTGGAAAAGGAGAAGTTTTTTTGAAGAGTTGGGCCACTCTGAATCTCCTCAGTATCCCAATATGTGGTCAGTCTGGCTCCTCAAGTCTGAAGTCAGTGGCCTCTCACTGGCAGACTTTGCTTTGTTGATTGAATGGCTTGCTAAGTAGACAGACTCATTTTAATGTTTTGCCTCACTCCAGTGCCTTCAGCACACACCTTTGGGCCTTTTGATTGTACAGTGTTTTTCAGAATCATTAATTAACTAATTATTTATTTCATCATTGTTTGCTTTTCTATACACACATACAGGAAAGGGATTTCACTTTTTTATTTTTATTTTTTTTACAATAATCATCAAAATAAAACTCACACAGGCAATTTGTGACAGTAAAGCAGCAGTGTTGATTTCATAAACCAGGTTAATATATATTACAAGGTTGCAAAGTCTTGAATGCTTAGATTATCTTTCAGACCAAAAGGTTTTGATAACCAAAACATTTACTCCACTTTTACAAACACTGCAACTGTTAACCACTCAACTGTGGGAGTTTACCTCACTGTGTCCCTCAGCCCAATAATGACACCCAGTGGTGGAGTACACTAAAGTTCATCTGAGAATGTTTGGCTTTCTTTGATACAGTTTAATGCTCATTTCTTCTATTGAAATACTTCTACTCAACCACTGCCAGGTAATCTTTACTGATTTAATTCCTGTGCAGCCGCCTGCTGTGCGTCGTGATCTCAGCACTGTTCATCTAACGCGCCATGTCTGAGGACCAGGTTTTTGTTGGCCACTGTGGCCTCAGGTGTTTGGTAGGAGTCCAGTTACTCTTAGCCTCTCTAAACCCACTAAGAGCTGGCCTCAGGGAGACCACTTGAATAATTATGGTGCAGTTAGCTGTTTCCTGTTTTCAGTGTAATTATTCTTCAAGAGCACAGATTTTCAAACAAGGGGATATCTTTGTATACTAAAAGATTCCTTTGTACTAACCTTTACACCAAATTCCCAGTAATAGACAAGCTTCAAAGCTGGCTGATTTGAATCCCAAATCTTTGAATTAAATATAAAATGTATTTTTGGACATTTGGTGTCAAAATTGTGGAAAAGGCTAAACGAGCTTCAGACTCACTGCCTCAACAGCACCACTTTCACCCATAGAGGGCACCATAAACTCAGCCATCAAGGCAATATTCCTGGAGCATCAAGAGTTTTGTTTATATTGCATATTGTTGGTTGACTGCATGTCCATTTTATAATCCCATATTCCTCTTGCACATCATATCCTCGCTGTCTGACAGCTTCTGGCTGACTCAGGCCACATCCAACCATCCTTCTATGTTTTACACTTCTATTCCTGCTATTTCCCAATCAGTTTAACAAGATAGGTTGTGTTCTAAAGACAGTTCCCTATGTCCAGTTTGTTGATTTCTTTCCTCTCTGTTTCTGGCTTCTTGAGCTCAATCTCTCTGGATCCTGTCCTCTCCTGTGTCCAGGAGCTGTTTCTTTGGCTGCTTATGTTGTCTCTCTTCACTGAGGTGAGGCAGAGACATGGTGTCCAGAAGGCAGCTGGGGTCCAGACTTTCTCCTGTAGTCTCATCCCAGAAGATGTCCCTCTCTGTGGGCCTTCTCACAAGTTTCAGTCTCTGGATCCCTTCTCTATTTGGACCTACAGGGACAAATTAAATGACCAAATGATGTTGGGGTCGATCAGTAGACCACATTCAGATATATTTTGCTTGTTTAAAATAATAATTTGGAGTCTTACCATTAACTGTGTAGACAACCTTATGTCTTCTCTGCTCTCTGGCATGTCGGAGGTGAGCTCGCCGATGGCGAAGAGCCTGTTGAGTGAGAGCTGTCTGGGCCTCCAGGAACCCTCCCTAGAAAGGCCACAGAGTCATAACCAACCAGTGGTGGAAAGTAATAAAGTACATTTAATCACTTACTGAGGTACTTTATGCTTATACTTCACTATATTTCAGAGGGGAATACTGTACGTTTTATGACTACATTTATTTGACAGATGTAGTTACTCGTTCTTTAAAAAACAACATAAAAAAATACAATGCATTGTTTCAGATTAAACCACTTGTACCCAACCTTTTTGGCTTGTGTCCCCTTAGAAATAGTCCAAAAAATGTAAATATATTTATGTAACAAGATTTTGTTTTTTCTTCTTTCCTATGGCACATTAATCATCACGACCCTCTATGTTGAGAACCATTGGCTACTGTAGGCCTATACAAAATCTGCAGGGAGTCTTTACTTTATGTGATTTTTAGTAAACATAGATGTGATTTATAGTAAACATAGTTCCTATGGACAGACGTGGATTTAAAGCAATCCATTGTATAGAAAGAATCATGTGACTGTCAAGACATATATATATATATATACATTTCTTTGTGTCAATGAGTGTGGTTCTAATAGTGGGAGCTTTTCTGTTTCTTGTACCCTGAAAATAGATCCCATTGAGGGCAAGTCACGGCTGTAGACCACCCTACTTTCCACTCCACAGACACTTTAATCAGATCCGCTGGGACAGCGGGGGCCCACACTCACAACTCACAGCTGCCCCTCTCTTTTTTTTCCACCATATCCCCCCCATACCTCATAAGTAGTGCTGCACACTTTAATTCCCCCTCAGTATAAAAATGTAAGATCTGAATTATTGATGTTATAGATGCACTTCAGCTCTTCTGTACTTTGTCAATATGCTTTACCTGAATCATTCTGCTGGTGCCGGAGTGTCCTGTCTGGCCGGTTGTAGAAAACCGGTGGGCACCCCCATCTCTGCAGTCCCTGCCCTACAACATACATCAAATTCCTCATTGGGCTTTGGGATGGCATGAAGTAGTGACGTTGGGATGGTCAGCAGCGATATATTATTTGTTCTATTACCATGGCAATTTGATTGGCAGTGCTTGTGTGGCCAATTTGAAGGGCCAGTGGTTGCAGTGCCTGAGGAGAGATAATGATGGGATGTCTGGGTAGGAATCACAACCAGTCAGAAACAATAATGCTAAATTAAGTCTGCTGGAGTCCCAGCTCAGGATTATATAGATTTTTAGAGTTCTCGTATGACTCACACAACAAGAATAGCCTGTTATAGTTTGTAAAACTATAAAAGGCTGATTTTGCTGTGCTAACCTGGGGTCTTCGGGGTGGATGGGAGTGAATGATGCTTGAATTGTTGCTGTGCTTTGGTAGGATGTTTCCTGCAAAACTTGGTTCTTACAGCACACACACACACACACACAGACACACACAGTTATCTTGTATCAAAATCAGACTCACAACACAGAGTAGTCTGTCAAAAAATCAAAGCCTGAGTGGAAATGAACAATAGAGACAGGAGACTTACTAACCTGAGAGTGTGGAGAGAGTTATTTCCTGTTTCAGTGGAGGTAAGGTTGTCTTCCTCTGAGATCCTGACTGCTTCTCCACAGCGACCTGCAGAGCAGGGAGTGTCCACTGTGGTTTAGGTTTTGCCCCCTCTTGTTGCAGGCTATTACATGGAGCCACTGTACGCAGCCTGCGTCTGGAGCCTGTGGATCCCATTGTCCTTCTCCTTGTCCTAAGGCTGACAAACTGAAATACTAAATTCTGATCTAGTACAAGTGAGATATGAAAAGTTTCACAGTTGGTGTATCTTTCGTCAAGTTTAGTTTTAGTTACAATTACTAATTTCAATTTATTGCCTTCTTGTCAGTCAATCAGGACTTTCCCCAGGTGTTTGGCCTCTTCTATAAAAAACTGTAAGTTACAGAAAAACTGAAAGTGTTCAGCGGCTTCCAAGCAAACCTGGTGGTCTTCTCATCTCCCCTGCTGACGAACTTAATGCTAGTCCTGACACATCTCTGTCTGATGCCAAAGTACAAAAGCAACAAACACTTTTGGTAGCGGTTAAAATAGTAGGTGTGTAAATCAACCCTGCTTTCATACTTGTCTTTCTCATTATAATGAGCTAGGTTTCTATGGCAACTGTCCCTACAGGTTACTCTGTAACTCTTAAGTTAATGCTTGAAAGAACATGTTATTTCGCTGCACCCCTTCCATATTGGAAAGCCCAGAGGGGTGAGGAGAGAGACAGGTTCTTTAAGAAATTGTTAACTGACTGAAAAATGTGACTTCATGAGTGCTCAGAACCACAGGGGGTATAAACACTTTTAAAAAGTTGGGTCATAGTAGGCTATCAGCCCTCTTGTAGCTTACATCATATCCCTGCTGGTTAGCTTCAAATTGTGAAAAATGTGTCTGTGTGTTTGGTATCTATTATGTGGTGATTACTTTCAAGACTGTTTCCCTTATTATATATTACATTATTTTAGTTATCAGGCATGCTAGTGGCCTGGATCTTGGGGCGGTTCACATATGCTACTTTGATCCAAACTGAAATATATTTAAAAAATCCTTGGTTTGATTGTTGTGAACTGAAATTCAGATATCCAAAGATTTTTGATTGAAATAGCTCAACAATTATTGGTAACATTTGGTACAGATAGCCTATCCATAGAGGAGGAGGATCATTTGTACAAACTTTTATGCCTTTTACTTTAATCTAGGCCTACTACAATCAGGTCAAAATGTTCTGTTTGTCAAATACTTAGGTTTGTGACCAAATAGGCCTATCTTCGGAACAAATTTTTACATGCTAACATGCTAAACTAATATGGTAAACATTATACTAAAAATCAGTACGTTAGCATTGACTCACTGAGTCGCTTGCATGGCTGTAAACTGTTGTCAGACTAAGCAGATTGGACTCTGGAAATTGTGATGGGCATTTTTCACTATTTCCTGACATCTTAGCATGCTAAAGTTAGATGGTAGCCTATAATGTGTATTGTACCTGCTAAACATCAACATGCTAGCACTATGAGCTTGTTAGCATACTGACATTAACATGTAGCTGAAGTACAGCCTTACAAAGCAGCTTACATGGCTGCTGTCTTGTCTTATTATTTAAATTATTTAGCTTCTTTTTTTCAATTATGCATCTGCAGCTTGGAAACACCATGGCCTCTTTGGAGTATTATTAGTTAGTTAGCTCATGTTACTTGTAAAAGGGCTGATTGCTTGTCCCTTTTAGCAAATGATGCTGATTGGCTTTCAACCTGTAATATGATCAGACTTTAAGCAGTATTTTGTCATTCTTGCAATTTTCACCTTTTTCATATTTTGCATGTATTATGTGTTATTGTGGCTAAAGATGTACATCACATAAGGTCCCTCTCTACGTCTCTTATCAGCATCCAGCTGTGCAGCAGCAGTGTAACTACTTTATCAAAGAATTAAGGTTTGAACATTACATGTTCCTCTGCTTCTTCTAGCTAATTTATTTTAATATGTTAAAATGCCACTGCAGTTGTTTAGCTGAAACTGTCACCTCAGCAAATGCTTCATTAGAGTTCTCAGCTCACTGAATGCACTCCCACAACCATAATGGCACTGTGGTGTTAGACTCTTGGGAGGGTGTGTGCCTATCACCGTGTTCTGCTCTACAGGCAAAACATGTCCCATGGGCTTTTTCCATTGCCAGTAAGATAGATTGCCTATGCATTATTACCACAGATTGTATGTGTCTATGAAAGAGGATAAATTATAGTAGAAACTACCATTCCTCATCTTGTTCAGTTTTCAGCGTGTGTGTGTGTGTATGTATGTGTGTTAGTGTATAAGTGCAGCCCAGAAAAGCATTACATAATATAGCGAGGAGAATTCTGCAAAGCTGCTAAATCAATGCAATCCACTTTACTGATTACTAATGCTGTATAAATTCTTATACTTGGTTCTGCTGAAATTCAGCCATGATACTAGTATATGGTTGATACAAAACTTTGGATCTTACATGTTATTGTTAACATTATAGCACTGTTTCCACATTTTCTGTTTGACATTACTTGACCATTGACCATACTGTCATTTGTTAATGTTGATGTGGGAGAGTGTATTCAATCGGAATAAAACACAAGCAGGGCCATAGACGGCATTAATAATAATATAATAATATAATTTATTAACTGTTTGTCCCCACTGCTGGGTGCTTTACTTTATATTCATTTATTTACCTAAAATAGTCATTATAATATATTTAATCAAATAAATAAAATACTAGTCTAGCCTATTAAAATACAGACCAAGCGTTTTTAAAGCATTAAGCTTAGTATTTATTTGAAATGATTGGTTATGTTCTTTATTCACTTAATATTGTCATTTGTTTCAGTTCCATATTGTCATTATACTACAGGTACCTCTGTCTACTCTGTTGTGTGTCTGTCTGTCCTCCTGGAGGGAGAATGTTGCTCTCCATGAGGTCTCCTTTCAGTTTTTCCCCTGTTGAAAAGGGTTGAAGCATAGAATATGTATCTTAAATTGTAAATTCCCAAGGACATGACCTCAGTGTCCTAATTTGTTGCTGAGCTAAAGAACAGTATTTTGATGACAGGAAGCCAAAATGTTTGTTTAATATGAAGGACCTGTGACACTTTGTCAGCAATGTATGCATCCTTGTCTATGCTGATTTGGGCAACAAAAATATGTTATAAAATATGGTTGAATAACACAAGATTTAGCCACATACAATACATGTGATCCTGAGATTAAGGGTGGGTTTTAAGTTTTTATTATGAAACCAAAAAAGCCTGTACAGTACGCATAGTATAATTGCCAATCTTGTATGTAATACTATTCAATAAGACATAAAATAATATTCTTAATACTCTTAGCTCTGCAGCTCTAAATAAATATCATAAATACACATAAGATTGAGCCAAACTGGCCCTGCAAATATTTATATTCACAGAATACAGTCTACAGAGTAGGTCAGGGGAGGTCAGTCAGCTCTTGGTTTGGGTGCGTGCGAGGAACGGGACTGAGCGTGGCAAGTACTTCAAGAAAGTAAATAACACTTTCCACCCTTTCAATTAGCAAGATCCATAAATGTTCTCGTTTTCACCTCCTGCAGTGAAGTGGCGGAGGCAGAAATGCATCTCCAGAGTGAAGGTTCAAGACATTACTTCCTGCCTTCCTGGTAAAGAGTCCATGTGGACACCGAACATCCCACCTACACCTCCTGAGTGGGCAATGGAGACAGGGCTTCAAGACTGGTTAACAGAGGCTACTAGCAGAGCTCAACCATCTTATGCCAAGGGAATGGAGACAGCGCCGTTTGCTCGACTGCGGCTCCGAGTGTGGCCACTGGACTCTGTGAGGTCCTCGCCGTGTTCCTCGGACTTCTTGTCTGCGATGGTGGCCAGGAAACGCAGCGTGACTGAGTCCCACTCCTCTGGCAGCAGCAGGAGCAAGAAGCCCAGGCAGATGATGCAGGTGGCTGCCAGGCGCACCACACTGAAGATCACCTCATGTTTCAAAACATCCACGGCTACAGCAGGTGAAAGAAAGACAGGAACAAAAGAGGGAGCCAAAGAGCAGGGCAGGGAAGGAGGGGTGGGGGAGAAACAAAAACAAACTGAGATTAATTACATAAAGTAAGATAAACCACAGGACACTGCGGCTGTAGGGGATGAATGTAGCAAATGCGGCTTATAATCAGCACAAGCAATCCACTTTATCCCTTATGTCTTTGCGGTCTGGAGTCCAGGGACAAGTTGCCGTAACCCACTGACCTTCATACAGTCCATTGTGGTTGAAGAAAATAACTCGTCTGCAGGCATTTAGTGTCGCCTTGGCAACCTGATCCTCCCTCAGCGAGAGAATAGTTGCAGGGTCTGTTTAGGCACATTGATGATTGGGTTTCCAGGACAAGAGAGGCAGACTTGCTGTGTAGTCTGTTTGCTACAGTGGCCCTAAGTGCTGACCTCTCAAGACAAAACCACAGTATGTATGGCCATGCACTCTCATTTTCACAACCTTACTAATTTCCGCCACAACAATCAAGACATAATTACCAATAAAGGGAGGTAATACTTGAACTGCATAAAGAAAGCCTACCTGCATTGCCCGGCACACTGAGCAACGTCCCTATGGAGATGAGAATGGGGTATGTCAGCACCACACCAACATGGACCAAGATGTTGAACACTGTAAAAGGCATGAAAGATGTTGAAAGTATGTACAAATTAGTTATTAGTCAATGCATCGATTAGTTGATTGACCAAAAAATAATCTGCAGCTGTTGTGATTGGATTATTGATTAATCATCAAGTTATTATTCAAGCAAGACATTTGATGGTTTCTCAGTGTGAGAATTTGTTCCTTCTCCTTGTCTTACAAAATATTATGGTCTGAAAACCAAACAATTTAAATATGTCCGCTTGGAACATTTACTCAATTAGTTGATGATGAAAATAATTGTTGGTTTCATATGAGGGAAACCATGATTCTCACTCCTCTTCAGGGATGTATATGCACTCTCACCCAGCCACAGTCCTGCCAGTCCACACAGGTATCCCCAGGGCAGGGAGGACAGTGAGCCCCAGTGCTCTACCTTGGTGAAGTACAGGATGAGGGGAACACAGGAGATGAAGATAAGATTGAAGAAGCCCATGGTGGAAAGGAAGTGAGCCACTTCTCCAAGGTTGGCGCTGCCCAGGAACATCTTGAACAGCACCTGGGTGGTGAGGAGGCAACTGTTTACACCAGTGACTATGCCAGTATTTAAAGTCACTGCAAACACAATCACACATATGGTTTAACCTGTAATGTGCTAACCTTGTAGAGAGCTGATGTTGAGGCTGAGCCCACAGCCAGCGCCACGCCCACAAAGGAATCACCATGGAAACCGTCAGCATAAGCCATCATGACTATACCTGTGATAGCCATTATGGCTGCCACAATCTGCAGGTAGAGATTCAGAGCCATCACTACCCTTACCCAGAAGTAAGAAAAACAGTCCTTGAAAGTATCATTGTTGGCGTTTTTATACAGACCCGAACACCCATGAAGCGGTCCTTGAGAACAATCCAGGACAAGAGAAAGACGAAGGCCTTGTGGCAGCAGTAGAGGGCAGAGACATCAGTGGCGGTCAGCTTCTTCAAGGCCATGAGGTACAGGTAGTTGGTCAACGTCCACAGTATTGAGAAGGGTGCTGTCCTCTTTACAAAGATTTTCAGAGTCATCCCATCCTCCCCAAAGAGTTTGCTGCACTCCCTTTTAGAGGAAACAAACCACAGAAGGGTAAAGAAAGTCATGTCAACCTGTTTATCCTCTTGGAACAGTGTCTTTGTTTGTCAGACTTTTAGCCTTGCTGTCAAGAGGACTACGCTTTGAGGATGGAAATGTTGGTTGCTTAGTTTCCTGGTTCCTCATGGACAGTCGGGTGGTTTCAAATTTGCTCCACTTGAGTGTAAAGAGGAGCAAAGCTTCTAGGGGCCACTAGTGGAGCTGTTATGGTAACTGATACTGTTTTGTTGTAAAAAATAAATAAATAATAAAAAGAGTCTTGGATGACACAGTGGCATTATTACTTATTTTTCTAAATGTAAACACAACCAGATGACTATTTCTCTTTATTATGGCGACTGACTTCATTGACACATCTGTAAATGTCAATTAAAGAAGGACTATTTAATTTTTACTCTACCAGCGTGATATGGCAACCAAAAAATTCTTCTAATCTGCTGTGGCACTTTTATGTAACAGTAACAGCAAAACTGGCAACTGGCAAGCACAAAAAAGCTTATCGTGAAAGGTTCTCAGAAATGCAATTGGGCAGATACTGTTCTTTTCCAAAATATTTTATTTATTTGAAAATTTTAAATAGTTTTGTTTGTAATTTACCTGAATTTCTGTATTGGGGTCTGCTTCTCCCGTGTGATAACCACATGTCCAGAGTAGTAGATGGGGAAGAAGAGAATGTTCCAGTTGCTGCTGAACCAGGAGATGAAGAATGGACAAGAGAACGACTGGAAGGTCAGCTTAACTACCTGAGTGGTACCCACCCAGGAGGAAGAGATACACAACACCATCAGCAGACCACCCAGCACCTTCAGAGCTGTGTTGGTACATGTCTGATAGGGCCGGCACTCTTCGCTGGTCTCACTGCCCGGTGTCTCTGCTTGAGACTCTGAACCATCCTCTCCTAAAGGGAGACAATGGGGTGGGGGGACAATAAAAGAAAGAAAATGCATTGCAGCATCTATACATGTGGGCTCCACTTCCTGTTCAAAGGCTAATGAGAACAGAAAGCCTCAAATATAAAAATAAACTTATAGTGTACCTTTATTTAGAGTTCAATTACAAGATGTCAATCTTTTAGCCATGCTAGCCATGCCAGAGGTGTCTTTTAGTTAAACCTCTTGACAACCACTAAATGGATTGACATGAAATTTGGTAGAGATACCCATGTTGTCAAGAGGATGAAGCCCAATGACTTTGGGGCAAGAGATTCACATTTGAGGTTTTGAGTGTAATATCTCAATATGTCAAACTCATGAATTTATGAAAGAACATTGATGATCAAATTTTAAATGTGTCCAATAATTATATACCAATTACCTGGAAACTAATGATATCAGTCTCAGCTGTAGTTTGTATTTTGTGCTAATTAGAAAGTGTTAGCATGCTGCTAAGCTATGGGGGGAACATGGCAAACATTATACCTGCTCAATGTAACATCAGTATGTTAGTGTTGTGACCATGTTAGTATGCTGACATTAGCATTTAGCTCAAGCCCTATGGAACACTCCTGTGCATAAGTACAGCCTCATAGCCAAACTTTTATTCATATTATGCATGCTTTGTATTACTGCATATACATACAATGTAGCTTGTGTCTCCCTGGCTGGGGTCCAGCACATGGGCATTTATTGATCAATCGCCCTCAGTGTTCACTACCAGTTTGTGTTTCTTGCTGTAAAGGCACTAATACAGATGGCAAGGCTTTGTTAAAAATGTTGGGTTAGCATTGTGGTTGAGCATGTCATAAATAGCTTTGTCACCTCGTGATGCAGCACGTACTGTAGTCATTGTAGTCAGGTGTGCACAGAAACCTGATGCGCAGAAAGCAAAAGTGAACCTAACCACATGACATTCCACAAGAAAGTCATGTCAACCTTGGCAGCCAGTGTTTTGCCTATTGGTACATTCCTGCTATGAAAATGTATATTGCAACAAGATAGATAGATAGATAGATAGATAGATAGATAGGAAAGAACGAAGGAAAGAATGAAGGAAAGGACTTATTTGTAACCCTGTATGCCAGTGACGCATGGTTGATCTGGCCCAGTGCCTTAGTGGACTGCAGGATTGCTTCTGGACCTTGACTGTGCTGTGTAATATGTTAAGTGCTGTGTGTGTGAGCATTTCCGGAGAGAGCTCAGATCCGTTCTTTAACTTTCAACAGTGTGATCAATTTACACTAGGGCAGGAATAAAAGATGACATGTGCTGGATGTTTGCTGGCCGTGTTCTCTTTGCTTGCTCAGCACGTGAAGCTCTGCCATTTCCACCATGGCTACAGACACTGAATCCTGCAAGCACTGGAACTCGTACCCGTAGTGTCTCCCCTCTACTGTAGCAGGGCATCTCAGGGGTGCTCATTATTGCATCTGATAGTCTTTTGTTTGTTATCTGCAAAGAGACCACAGCAGGAACAAACCCAAAAAAAACAGGGCATGGAGCACAAACTGTTTGATCAAATAAGTAATGTGTGGTGAGAATATTGGTAGCAGTTGTCTATGTTATGCGTTTAGAGTGGTAAGATGCTATTTTTGTTTTGATGTGTCTATGTCCAGTAAACAGAGTGTGAAAAACATGCCACCAGACTTTTCAACACAAAGTAAGTGTCTTTTACAGTAGGGCCAAACTCAATTTATAAGCTTAATGAATACATGAGATCATTGCTGGCACCTAGTGAGTGTATTAATGGTAAGTAATGGCTATAAGTGTTATACCTGAGATAGAGTGGTTGAATACAAAGTAACACATAAAAGTGCAGTGGTGCATGAAGTAGTCAGATCTTTTACTTAAGTTAAAGTATTAACACACATTAATTAAATTTTACTTCTTCCCACTCCATTTCAAGCATAAGTGTATAAGTTATTATTATTGTGTATCTTTTCTGTTGTCACACTATTTTGCTTGAAATAAATAAATAAATATAAATAAATAAATAAACACCCCAATGGGAAAATACCCCATTGCAAGTAAACATCCTAATTAAGTTAAAGTACATAAGTATTATCAGGAAAATGTACTTAAAAGTATCAAAAGCAGGAATATACCTTCTGCAGATAATTAGCCCCAGTGATAGGTTGGTAATACTGATGTATCAGTGCATAAATAGCATTTAACTGTTGTAACTGGTCATGTTGGAGCTTGTTTTAACTATTTTATTTACGGTTAGGCAGTTAAGTCCAGTGGTAAATCTGAGGGGTCATCAGAAGATTAGTGTCGGTGGAGAGAGGGAAAACAAAACTGCTGATATACACATTTATATTCATGTGTGGGACTTTTGTCTAATCTTTGCTTTTTGTGAAAATATTCTACCTCTTTGGGTCTTGAACAGTTATTTATATAAAACTATATGATAAGTTTAGAAGGGAAACGTGTATTACTATAATTTTCAGAGAAATGTGGTGGTGTAAAAAGTACAATATTTCTCGCGGAAATGTCGTTAAGTAGAAGTATAGAATGGAAATACTAAAAACTGTACATGAGTACTTGAGTAAATGTTATTAGTTACTCTCCTGTACTGCATCAGTGCAGCACTGGCCTTGAGTCTGTCCACATTGCAGAATTAAACCCCCCCCTCTTATAGTACAGTGTTTGAAGCAAAAACCCCTCAAACTGTAAGTGATAATGAAAACCTCTGTAAAAACCGATGATGACTCCCACTAATTAAGTCGAACTCTTTCTTCTTTCTTTATAGTTTAGTTCATTACAGACTATGACTATGACCTCAACAGAGATCTCAGATAAACACTCTCACATAAAATGTTTTGCCTTACAGTATATCCCGGCTGGGAGCAGAGCTACAGTATGTATATATGTTCTACACCGTTTCTTTTCTGCAGGATCATCGAAGGATTTGGTCTAATTACATTCTGTCACAGCAAGGATTCTTAATCAACATAATGAGCCTGGTGGTTAGCTAACTGGCAAACTGAGATCTGATATTGCTGCAAGAGAGAAGCGGCTCTTTTATTATTTTTTCCTGTATGTCTGCTTCTCCTCATCTACCAAGCAAGATGGTTCGCATTTCATACCACTGACAAAACCTAAAACTTTTTGTCTTGGATACGGGCTTTTCTGTCCTGAGGTAAGAAGCCACTATTGGTTTATCAGGTGCCAAGATGCAGTAATATTATAACCCCACTATTCCCCTGCCTCATAAAAACAGCTCCTGTGGCCAAAATTGTATTCTCATAAGAAGCAGTGTTATTGCTGACTAACATTGCTGATAAAAAAATTGCAAAGGAAGCAATAATCCCTGACATACACAGACTGTCAGCACAGTATTGCAGTGAAATACTAACTAAAGAAGAAAAATTGTATTTGAAGTTAATTTCAGTCAAGTGTACTTATTTTGAAAACTGTTCAAATTACAGAGTAGTAGTAAAGTGTTATTAAAGTGTTTAGACTTATTAATTGAAAACTAGCTGTCAGAAATCATTTGGGGCATAATTATGAACCCAGCGGTGTTTCTTTTACATTAAGACGCTCATTCAGATTGTAGTTAAAATGCCATCGCATAAAAGTATGGATAAATACATAAACAGTGTGTTTTTTTAAAGCTATATGTTTGCTATAATGCTCACTAATACTACACTTAACTTTTGAAAAAAATGTTTATATTCATACATGGGCTTGTTGATTGCTCACTACGGCTAGAAAAAGGAGTAAGTGAAAGTGTTAACATTGTACAATTTCATTACAGAAATCACAGTGCTGCATGGGATCACTCACTACTGGCACCCATTAACAGAGCTTGTCCACTCTGTGTGACGCAGTATGCTGCTGGAACCTGACATTTCAATCCATTCTGTGTTTTATTCACACCACTGACGTTGCATGCCAGTGACATTGATAGATGGGCCCCAACTGAATCCATTATCAAACTCATAGTCACATGTGCAGCGTGAGGCGTTCTTACTACAGGTCAAACAGCATTATGTCTTTATCTAGATTAGGTCTGAAGATGTGACATGGTTAGGATGATGCCGATTAAAAGGTTATTAGCGGTATCACCCTGTAATCTCTGTTAAAAAAGTTAAAAGGTGTAAGGATTTAGGCATTTATGGAGGAAGATGCTGAATAGTACAAATGTTGAGTTAGATGAAGGGAGGAGAGGTGAACAGAATGAACAGATGCGAAAGCAGCTGGTTTTTGCCTGTTTCTTTTACCTTTTTTCTTTTTACACCAATTCTGGTTGCTACACATGGTGGCTAAAAAACAGCAAAACATATGCTGCTGCTATAACTACACTTCATGTCAACACATTTACCTTCTCAAAATCTGTAGGCAGAAAACTGAAATGACGTTTTTTTACACCATCCAGAGGAAAAAAGTCCTGGTGAAAGTAGCTCTATTCAGTTGCCGATTTTTCTTAGATTTTAATTTCTGATACCACATGTAGAAGTAGAACACATCCACAACCACACTATCTGTATTTCATATGAATACCTGTAAACTCTATATGACACCTCAGTGCATATGATGCCTTATGGGAAATCATATGCCTTCACCTGTAAAAGAAAAAATATACAAATAATATAAAAGTACTCCATAGTTTTAAGCAGCTTAGCTATCTGATCTAATGCTGCCAATAACTCAATTAATGCTACCACATACAAACACAGTTTAATATAAATGATTTATTGGGCTTCTGTGGTTCTTTCAGTTTACCTTCAGAGATGGGGCAGGTCAGGACCTGAGTGCTGTACGAGCTGAGAGGAGCCACTCGGGCTGAGTGCTTCTTCATCCTCCACTGGGGGCACAACACACTTTCCTTCCCTGGGAAGTGAGTTTATGTCTGTGTGTCTGACTGTGTAAGTGTGCCCGGTCTGCTGCACGCTCAGCAGCTCCTCCTGCTAGCTCTGAGCATCCTCAGATTCCTGACTCCTCCGCTTCTTCTTTTACGCTCTTGATGGTCCCCCCGCCCCCCCCTCTTTCCAGATCTCTGTCAACTCTTTTGTCTTCTTCCCAGCACTCCAGTCCTGACTCTCCGTTCCTCTTCAGGCCAGCCCTCTGTTACTGGTGCTCTCTCTCTGTCTGTCGGGATAGTAACACAGCTCAGTGGAGATAGCTCAGTGGAAGTGCAGTGAAGTGGAGACTCTACTGTTTCACTGTCATGCCGTGATCCAGAGTTGCCACTGTCTCCAAGGGAGACTGAGCTTCAAGTATGTGTGGCATGGCGCAATCACTCCCCTCATCTCTTTCCATCCTCTCCCTCCCCTTTTCTCTCTGTCTCTCTCGCTTTTCCCCTCCTCTTCTTTTGCTCCACAAATCAGCAGCTTTGTTTGGAAGGTAACCAAGCAGCCTGGGCAAATTATGCTGCGTTAGCTGCTGCCCCCTCATTTTCTCCTTCCTCCTCCCCTCTCTTTTCTACCTGACCAGGCTCTTCTCACCCCTTCCTCCCTATATATATTCTTGTCCTCTGTCTTCTAATGCCTCTATGTCTTCTTGGCACATCTCCTGCTCTTCACTACTTGAGAGTCAGATTATTAGTAGAGCGCTGTTGCTTTCATTGCTGCAGCATTAATCAGTTCAGCTACAAAAAAGACACAGCTATCAGAAAGACATGCCAGTCCTATACATGTCAATTCTGTCATCCACTAAAGTACTCCTAGTGCTCTTAGAGGTATTGGGGAAGCCCACATTGTACTCACACCACTATTACACATTTACACATCACTACTATGATATTCTAACCAAATGATATTTCCATCTTCCAAGGACGCCATAAAGGAGACAGCAATACAAACAAAGTCAAAGGAATACATTTCAAAGTACTTCTCATGTTTATATTGTGGCTTAGACCTATCTCTAATTTTAATTTTGTTTTAAAATTTGCCATTTTAAATCAGGAGTGGATCCTGTAGATCTTTATCACTCTAGTTATCTCTTACTGACATGGACATGTCTCTTATGGTAACTACAAAAATCAGGTGAACGCAATCTCTATTTGTAATTCCTCAGTCTGATCATATGTTGCTTTTCCATTGGACATAGCAACACTTTCTTTAACCCTGCAAGTTCACCTTCTCCATAGCAAATACTGTATAAGTATTTAAGTAAAATTTTAGATGTCTGTACATAACTGGACTATTTTCATTGTGTGAGACTTTACATTTCAGAGGGACATATGGTACCAGTTATCTCACCAAATCCATCTGATGACTGGGCACAAGATGACTGTATGTGCAAAAGCTCCACTAAATTTGGAAGATATGATGCATTGCTAGACTTTAAACTAGCCAACTGTAGTTAGACCAAAACATTACAATTATAATTACTATGTCAAAAACTTTTCAAATGTTGTTGTTTTATGGATATGTGGCTAAACCTATGGACTCAGTATATGTTGGCTTAGAGCTAATTAATTCTCATAGAACTAACATCAAATAATTTCTCCAGTATGTGACAATAACAAATGGTTACACAGCTAGATTTGGAGGAAAAGGCTCTGATTTATGAGTGAGCTCTTGAAGAATTTGCAACAGGGATACTGCTGCGAGAACTGATCCCGTCTGAATAAACATACATGGCATACAAATCTTAGGTCAATCAATAATGTAAAAAAAAGTAGCGCATATGTGTGATGTTAAGCAAGGTGCAGCACCAAACAGTGTTAGCATGAGCATATCAGTAAGCACTGCCATACACCCGCATGGATATTGTTATGATACAGCAGTTAATCAGCCAGTGATTGTGAAGCATGAATGCCAATCAGCAGATGCAACTTCAGTGCCCTGCATTAAGAAATGCTACGCTTCATTACTTTAAACCATCATACTTCCTGTAAGCACTTTTGAGTGGTGCTTCTTCACTTTTTAAAAGTAAAAAACATGGACATTTAGTGTTAATGGAGTGTTTTTATATTCAATATTTACAATTTGATGATAAAAATTTTAATACTTTTTTCCCATCACTGTTGCACAGTCAAGGGAAACCCTCTCATACGCAGCCAGTGTGGACCTGAGGGGGTCTGCCTGGGCCATGTGAGTCACCTTCGGGACTCTGGTCAGGAGTTTCCATCTCAAGGAAAGCCCTCAGGCCATTCTATCTCTAGCTGTGGTTTATCTACCTGAGGATTTAATGGATCTAAATATTGCTTGGGCCTCTACATCAACGACATATCAGTGTCTAGTGTATGCGGTCAGACACATGAGGCGTTGCAGCCTGTAATATAATCTTAATATAACCTATGCAATTTCATGCTTACCCTCTCACCAGTAAAATCAATACTAGCCAAGCCAGGAACAGTAGCACTATGACCTGAGAAAGAGAAAACACTCAAAGTATACATGTGACACAGAAAGTGGACTAACACTTAGTCTAAATTGGTCTGTTAAGAATACTAAATGAGTGGTATTTTGCAGTCATGTTTGCTCCAGGATCTCTGTCATTATATCAGTATCACCCTGAGCCCCTCACTTGCTGTCTGTCTCTCCAGTGCTCATCAGCCAAAGTTCTGGCGCTGCTACTGAGCGCATAGCAGATCAGAGCACATCTCTGAGCATTCTTCAGGCTGTGAGAGACAGCACAGTTATTGTTTGGCTGTTTGTTACAAGGGAGGGGGGAAAATGCAGGGCCACATTCCAGAAACACATTGGTAATATATTTGTTTGAATGCAGAATTCAATATTGAAGAATCAGCTGTAGTCATTTTTTAGGACAATGGCACATGGTCACACAGTGTGACAGAACTGGTGCAACACTAATTGAAAAGCCTTAAGTGAAGTTGAGAGAATGAGGCTTGATTACAATGTTTGTGCTTTAAGTGTGTGATGTAAGAATGGCTGAGACAAATGTTTTATCAGGTGTAAGCAGAGGATGAGCTGGGGGTATGGATCCCCTAAGACAAGGAGGGTTAAACTTAAAAATAGCCCTGCTGATGTCTGGAGCCAACAGCTAGACAGAAAAACGATCCAGTCAGCAGAGCCCATGATGCTAATCGCTATCAGATTAAGAGAAATACCTGGAGTACCGACGCTTCAGGAGGCTACAGTTCACTTTCAAATATTAGACCAAGGACTCAAAGTGACTGTTCCTTCCTTGTGTATTTTACTTGTATGTGTTGTTTGTTTTTATTCACATCCGTAGCTAAAAAGACCAGAAGATATTTTCTTCTAACACTAGAATTCAACAGCACCACAAACTACAGCTGCAATCTGATCATAAAGTTGCATCTATACCTCTCTGAAACGGTTTGAACCCCCCCCCCCCAAACATCATGATCTCATATAACATAGCTAGGTGTAACTAATAAACAGGAAACTGAGTGTATATAACACAATGGTTCCATCACATCCCAGATCAAAGCGCAAAATAACACAGCATCCTCTCTCTTTACCTCTATAGCAACGGTGGGCCTCCTGTGCAGCAACCCACTCAACTGATTCAGGCACTTTGTCATTTAGATTAACCAGTGTGCCTCACTTTATGATGCAAGCTCCTTTGTCTTGAGCCTCTCTCTGTTACTCATCTCGGTGAGGACCAGGAGCAAAGAACGCTGATGGGAGATGAGAGGCTGGGGCATTATTGTTGTCTGCAGCTGATTTTAGCTGTAGTGAGGATTAGACAGACCACGAATCAAATGCTGATCCTTAGATGTGTTTCCACTCCTTAGACACATCCTAAACGCTCCTCAGTGTAGTTAGAACATTAGAAGATGAGGACACCTGGTGGTGAAGATGATGGATTGCAATACAGGTGAATCGACAGGGGCAAACAAAAAGGACAGATGTTCCTATTAATAAGACTATTTTGCTCAAATTCACCTGGTCCTCACGTATCCTTAGGGGTGCATTATTATGCATATTATTTCATTGATTTGGTGAGGTTTTGATATAGTTCTGAAAAGATGCATTTGTAAAGGTCACCAGCAATGTGACTTTCAGAAACAGTGTAGGATAATTCACACGCATCACTGTTGATAGTTTTCATAAGGCCTATTTGGTCTGCAGAAAGTAGTCATGGTGAAAACTGTGAGGTCTGTGGATTACCCCTAGTATCAGGGAAATCATTGGAAAGAACATGGCTTTGTTGTAGTGTGATTAAATACAACTTCAAGCACAATATAAACTAAAATAATAAAGGTCTCAAAACTAGATTTTGACACAGGGCTTCTCTACATCACATGAAAAGGTAATAATATAGGATCTGTCTTAAATGATACTTAGGTCTACTTTAGAGGTGCAAATGTTTCAAAAAATTAGCAATTAATCAAATTACCATAAAAAAGAGTTGACAGACACTCAATGTAGAGCTTTTGGGGCCCCTAAGTGTCTGGAGCCCCAGTGCAGTTGCAGTTGATAATTCAGCCAACACAAGTCATATGTATTATTGAGTTCGTCAAATCACATTTTTCATTTAATGCTTTGATCACCAAAAATGTAATTCCTGTCACAGCTGTTGATTTGGGGTTGCAGCAGAAATCTCAGGGACAGACATCCCAAAGCTGGTGCAGATAAAATGTAAAATGAAAGAATCTGAATGGATGAATAACACCATGTGGAAGTGGATACAGTGGTTTGGGTGAAATACCCCCTTAACTTGGCCCTGGAGCCCTGGAGACATAGCGGATGTAAAATTACACAGTATGCAATACAATTAATACATGAAATACTATTTGTTTTAGAATCTAACAACCATCTTCACTTTTGCATACACAATGAGCGGTGGTGTAAAAATGGATTAGTCTTTTCATGCTGTTTTAAACAAGGAGTAGTGATTAGATGAAGCACTTCTGTTTACTGTCTGGCTTTTCACTGGGGGATGTGGTAGGTCAGTTTATGGTTGTTGATGTTGTTGGATTTACAAACCACATGAGGGCAGTGTTGGGCTGCTGGTGTGCTCAGAATCACAGAAAGGCCATTACAAACCTTTCACACATTGTGCCCTTCTATTATGCAATTTTACTTTTGGATTACAAAGAATTCCACGCAGGAAAAAAATCTCAACTGTGAAGCGAATTGCTGGGACCGGCCCAAATATTTAGTCTCCTGATATACAGTGGTACAACATATGACCAATACCACAGTGGCATTAGTCCAGGTCAGCAGTTCCTGTGGAGAAATATTGCACCCATTACTTGCAGGGTGTTTTTGTTCATTCCCAGGAGCATGTGAAACTAACAGCACTCCTAGAGTCGTTCAGGCGGAGCTCATATCCCATTCGATGCTGGGCTAGTTATAAATAGCACTGAGTAAGCAGGCATGGGAACGGGACTGTCCAAAATAAGTGCATGCAAG